GTGTGGTCAATATTAATTGATTATTAATAGAGAAGAAGCTGTATTGTATATACGTAGCCGTGGGTCAGAAGAGAAGTACAGTTGCTCAGCTATTAAAGAGATTCACTGATGCTGGTACATAGATGTACATGTACATGTACATGAGTATATTGATTAATTATTCATTATTATTGTTATTAATTAGATGCTATGAAGTACACTATTATTGTCAGTGCCACAGCTTCTGATGCAGCTCCACTCCAGTACCTTGCTCCTTATGCTGGCTGTGCTATGGGAGAGTATTTCAGGGACAATGGGAAACATGCCCTCATCATCTATGATGATTTATCCAAGCAAGTAAGTTATTTATTTATTCATTTATTTATGTATTATTTTATTATTCATTTGTTTGTTTATTTTGCATTTATTTATTTATTTTTTCATTCATTTATTTATTTATTTATTTATTTGTTCATTTATTGTTCATTATTTATGTATTTATGTTTGTTTGTTCATTTATTTTTGCATTTGTTTTTTTATTTATTCATTCATTTCTGTATGTCTTTATTTGTTTACTTATTTTGTTTGTTCATTTATTTTTGCATTTATTGTTTTATTTATTTGTTCATTTATTTATGTATTTATGTTTTTGTTTATTTGTTTGTTTGTTTATTTATTTGTTTGTTTGTTAGGCTGTTGCCTACAGACAGATGTCACTGCTCCTAAGGCGACCCCCAGGACGTGAGGCTTACCCAGGTGACGTCTTCTACCTTCACTCTCGTCTCCTGGAGAGAGCAGCTAAAATGAACGAGGACTATGGAGGAGGATCACTCACCGCACTACCTGTCATTGAGACACAGGTAACCATAGTAACCTTTATAACATGTACATGTATGTCACCTTTATTTAGGCTGGGGACGTGTCGGCTTATATCCCGACTAACGTAATATCTATCACTGACGGACAGGTACTAGTAATGATAGTGTATTAATTAATTATTTATTTATTTATTGTAGATATTTTTGGAAACAGAGTTGTTTTACAAAGGTATCAGACCAGCCATTAATGTCGGTCTGTCTGTTAGCAGAGTTGGATCAGCAGCTCAGATCAAGGCTATGAAGCAGGTTGGCATTCTCATTCCCATACTCTCCTTATTCTCATACTAATGTCGTTCCATTCTCATACCTATACTGCCTCATTCCCGTACTGTCCTTATTTTCATGCTCATACTGCCTCATTTCCATACTGTTTCTATTCTCATACCCATACTGCTCCATTCCCATGCTGCAGGTTGCTGGTACTATGAAGTTAGAGTTGGCCCAGTACAGAGAAGTTGCTGCTTTTGCTCAGTTTGGGTCTGATCTTGACGCAGCTACCCAGTCCCTCCTCAACAGAGGAGTGAGACTAACAGAACTACTGAAACAAGGACAATATGGTATGTAGCATTACTATTAATATACTCGTATGGCAGGGTTTTTTGAGGACAACAAATTTCGCCGATTGTTTACAAATTTGCTACCTTAAATTCCTTGAAAATCAATTTAATAAAATCCGAGATGGCAGAATAGTAGAAGTTCGCAAAAATTAATTTGTGAACCTCCGAATACAGATCATCCACAAAAATTATCCTTGAAAAAACCGCTATGCATCTTCATAGTAATAATGATATTTTTCTTTTGTAGTTCCAATGGCCATAGAGGAACAGGTAGCTGTCATTTATGCCGGAGTGAGGGGGTATTTAGATAAACTGGATCCAGCCCTAGTCACATCTTTTGAGTCATCGTTCCTCGAGCATCTCCGCTCCTCACAAAAGTCCCTTCTTGACACGATTAGAAATGAGGGACAGCTCTCACCAGAAACAGACGAGAAACTCAAACAAGTTGTTCTCTCGTTTATGGAGACTTTCACTTCTACAGCTGCC